ATTTACTTATACAAGATTGGATATGTGGCGTATGATTAATTTCCTGGTTAGCCATATGCAGGTGTGAGCGTGGGAATTCGATAATCGATAAACCTGAGCAAGAGCGATGAAAATTACTTCTCTATTTCGAATGCGCTGGAGATAAACAACTGGATTTATTTAGACAAAGGCATCAGTTTTCCCCAGTTGCATAAATTTATTTTCGAAGAAAATAGTGTAAAGTAGGCGGGCATTGAGCCTAGTTTATGTCATAATATTTTCGATTATCAGAGTAAATCTTGAAACATAGAGTCTACACAATGTAGGAAATCGATAAGAAGCTAACAGACTGAATGCTAATATGCACTATAAAAAGGCGAATGTTATTTCTATCTATTAACACTGTTTTTGCTCTTATAATTAAACAGAGTCGCAAATATTTAATCTGTGTTTGCCCTCCACTCTTATTATCGGTAGGAAAAAATCTGTTATAATTTTATTGCTTTAAAGTTTCACAGATTTTATTTATTTTTATTTTCGTTTTTCTCATTTTTTAAAATCAAAAAAGTCATTTTTAAACATTGTCTAGCTTCATTAAACATTACCGAGGTGGATGAACTCCGGATAGCTGAAATGCCAATCTTCAGTAAACGCCTATCTATAATTTGGCTGCTTTAATTTTTTATAGATTTGGATTTGCTTTTATAAATCCAACGCACATAGTACAAAATATTAATTAAATTTTTTATTTTGTTTGAAAAAGCCAACCCAAGGGACGGAATTCAACGGTTGTCAGTGAAAGGTTATTAGGATAAATATGCAATATTTTGGGACTAGTTAGAGTGCAATCATCTTATTTTATTGTGTATTGCAGTATTAAATCCAATACTTGACGAATTCGCAAGGTTAAATCGATTCGCGGAGCATGGTAAGTAGTTCTTAAAATTCTAATTGGCATTTATATATTCGATTAAATTTTCCAATGTATGGTAATAAAAATCACTTGTTCTCAAGACTATTCTCTCTCTCTCTCCAGGTATAAATATCTTACATCTTTCTCTGTCTTGTTCCTATTTTGCTGCAGACTATTTAGTAAGCCTGTGAATGGTAATTGCTCATCGAGATAACTTTGTCCAAGGACTAATTATTTGTCCTACGATCTGCAATGTGTCAACTGGGATGAGGGAAAACGCTATTTCACGTTGATATAACGAAAATTTCTCGCAATTCAAGTAGAAGTATATGCAGCAGTGGATAATTCACATTACTTCGCATAAACAAAATGAGGGCTAAATGTTGTATCAATAGCAGTTACAAAATATAAAATCAGATATTAATCACTGTAAGACAGCCAGTTATTCAACAATTCTGTCGATTGAAAGTATCTTTCTTGCCATTTACGAATTTTTTTTCATTTTGAAATTTCGTTTCTGAGCCCCTACTGATGTATTCACGATTTCTTCAATCCGCTTGCTTACAGATCTATTCAAGCTCTATCAGTCACTTCCAAATACGATGATTCTTCATTTTTTGCTTGCATCATTTTGGATATATTTACTAGTCAGTTTGAATGTAATGTTGGTTTATTTAATATAGAAAGGCTTATTGCCTTCGGGAATCATATTTGCTAAGTTGAGTATTGCTGATAATATGCTAAATCAAAAGCGAGGTTTAGTACATCTGAGAAGGTGGTAAAATGCGACTTTTTATGACCTAAATATTAATTGTTTGTCGGAGAAGGATGGGAAAGGAGGAGAAACAACTTCGTGTACCTAGTTTGAACTCCATACTAATGCACTATATCATTCGATAAAGAGGAAATTTGAGTACCTCAGTCTCTTGTTTGTTTATTCCTAAAGAAATGCTGCTTTCTCTGTATCTGAACACTATTTATTTGTAATGGGATAATAGGTTAGTAGTTCGTTTAAATGGGCATGTCTGCCTATTTCACTCCACTGCATCTATATCTATTAACTAAAACTCGTTCTGAATAAAGATCAATTTTTATTATTTTTCAGAATTAACATATTATAAAGACGCGGAAAGGTTCAGCGCAGCTGTAGCTCGTTTTCGAAAAAATGGTTAGTTCCTTTTTATTAAAAACAAAAGCACACTTTTTTTGCAATTACCACTATCTAAATCATTTTCAAACTAAATTTACTTTTTTTATAGATTTCGTAAATAGCTTATACGAACATTCTATGTCTTATCCATGTAAATTGAATACCTCAAATCGGATTTTTTACTTAAATCAGAATTTTTGAAATTCTAATTTCTTCATTTTTTCAAACCAAGGTTATTGGAGAATAATAATCTATACCGTATTATTATGCATTCGTCGTGCACCAGGTATAATTACTCTATTTTTAACTTTCATTTTACGAATTCATCGCCTACATCTATTTATTCTATTTTAAATCAGCTAGTATTTCTCTGCTTGAGGCAATATTGCATTCAGTTCAAATTGGTATGCCCCTTGATTTGAAATATGGTTCATTTGGATATTACCCAAGTCTCATCAATTTAATTTTGTTATAATGCATTCTGCGGTCGTAATAATCCATTAACGAGAAGAATGCGAATTGTCTAATCGCTATAGTTCAAGTTGGTTGAGTTAGAATATGCATATTTTTCTGATGGAAGGCAATTTTAAAGCCCTCTTCTTTTGAAAGATTTGTAGTCGTGCAGTCACAACAAATGTTCATATTACATTGTATCCCTCGTTTTCGTAGGCAAACAACATTTTTTCACTACTGACCCCCATCATTTGCTTTATCTTTTTGTACTGCAATAGGCTATTATTACCCTTGTGTTTTAATGGACTTTTTTTATTAAATTGCTTAAAATATCACGTATAACTACTATTTTTCGATAAGTCTGATAAGCTCGTAAAAATATGAAAATCGGTTGATAGGTATATGTGGTAAACATATGATCAGTACGCTAACGAATCCCCTTGTTCTTAACAAACTAGGACAGTTTTTAAGGGCGCTGCTTACAAAAAATCGAGAAATTATAATGATCGTGAATGAAAGTACTATGAATATTCCATGACACATAGTAATAGCTTTGTCGAATTATATGTCAATTTCATAAACAGAAATGAAACATTATTCCGTTCTGAAAGAATTTGGTCCTTATTTGCTTTCTTCACTTAATTCAAACAAGTCACAGCTTACCTTATGTAATCTTTTTTTAATTCGCCTTGTTTACAATAAATTTAACTCACTCTTTATAATTTCAGTAATGCGGATACTATACAAACGTAAGTTTTTAAAACTCCTTTTTTGTTTCTGATACCGATTCGATTTTTGCGTCTTTTATAAAGTTCTTACTAATGTTGTGTCGCTCTCTTCTATTCCAGCTTTACGAAGGGAAGGTGAATGCTAAAATAAGGGGAAACAAAGAAAATTCTGAATCGACCAATAAGATTCCTCAGTCTCGTATTAAAGACCAATAAAATATCCCTTAAATTTTAATCTTTTGCCATTCGATTCGGTTGACCATACGAGCGAAATAACAATTTTAAAAATTAAAGAAATTTTGATAGCAATAGGAAACCATTTAATAATACAGCCCCTATTTTATGAAATTTAAATATATCATAAAGTTTTTATGATTCACTACATTTTAATTTCAGCCGCATTCACTTCAGCCAGTACTGTTTTACTTTACTCTGATAGTGGGATAACTATTACGCTAAGTTATTCGTCTGTTTTCCTTGTTGTATCCATATTCTGTATTCATTATTTGTCTGCTCATCAGATGTCGCGTTTCACGCATATTCACATCGACCTCGAGAAGAGTGAAATAAATAGATCTTTATTAAGGCTGATCATGTAGACAAGGTCAATAAACATGAAAAGACGAAGAGTCTAATAGGTGTACATAATATAAAGTAAGGTCCAAGAACTAAAGACCCCACATGACGAGTGGTAGTAGCTATCCTTCCTCCGACAATAAATTCTGCACCAAGCAATAGCCACAATGATTCTGTGATCTAATATATCCACAGATCACATTGCGATCCCACTTTGTCGCACAGGTGTACACACCTTCTATTTTGTTTAGCAATGGGTTGACAGCCTGCATTCAATACGTTGTTATGGGAATGGCAATTTTTAATGTAAACATTCTGATGGTAATGATTTTTATGTACCGAATGCTGTCGTTCGATTCAGTTTCTTTGTTTCTTGTTCTCTGAAATTGTTAACCACGATTTGGAAAGTATGTCATCACAGGGTATTAAAGTGTTTTGGTGCTAAAAGGAGGCAACTACTCAGAATCTTGTAATTATTGATTTTACATTTGCAATACTAGTATTGACCTGAACTATTAACCCTTCAGTCTAGCTATCGTTCTTCTGATATGAGAAAGATTGTTGCCTCATGCAAACCTTTGAGATTATAAGATTTTGAAAGTGATATTTTAGTCAGAATATAAAAGTAGAATTGATTCAAATTAGTGCAGCTTTACGTCCTTTTAAGTGTGAATTCCGATATGGTGCATTCTCAAGAACAGGTGTACTTTCATTGACCTATTGGCATTTCGAGTGAGGTGATAATACCCTTGAAGATTATTTCTCCTCAAGGAAGAAATCTTGTTCCTCCAATCTTCCATTATGATTTAGCAAATTAAAAGAAGATGATCCCATTAATGAAATTCATTTGCTTAAACAATAATCCTTCAACAGCATTTCAGCAAGAACATTTATCAATTCATTCATCTTAATTTATTAATTCTGAAGTTACGAAAGTATCATTTTCACCGAAAGCTCTCATCTCCATGCCAAGGCGTTCGAACACAAATTTGATGTCATAGATGAACAGAAAAAAGGAAATAAGACACAAGAATCTGATATGAATAGTTAACATGGTCAAACAAAAGGACACATGGTAGCTTTAATGTTACGGAAGCAAAATAAAATGACATGAGGAAGAAGCATCAAAAGAACTGGTAAAACCGTGAATAGGAGATGATTAAAATATTCCACATCAAAAGTAGTCACTTTTATATCACAGTTATGTGGAGACGCTCCAGACAATTGCGTGGGCACCGGACGAGCCATGGTTACGTTGATTTATTGCTAGAAGGTAAGGACCAAAAAACACGGTTTCAACACTATTCATACAAAACCACTTCTGAAAGGGATTTAAGTAGAATTACCCGATACGAGGGAGTGAGTTGTTGCATCTGCTCGGGAAGCGGGAGATGAGATTTGTAAATAAGCATAATCGTGACCCACTGCAACAACTAAGAAGGAACCCGGGTTGGCTGAACTGGAGTCCTCCTCTTTATTCTCCTCTTGATCTAAAGAGCGAGGTGACATTTTTCGACACTTACTTTTAATTGCAATCAACGCGGACACAGGACGTCGGTAAGCGTGACAACTGAGGGATATGTCCTCCTGATTAAGCACCTTGGTTGGAGAAATTGCAGCGGGGTCTTAAGAACAAAGGAATGATAAAAGAAGGTATGGAGAACTTTAAGGGAAATATAAGTCCACTTACCACTCGTATTATTCAGAAGGGAAGCACAAAGAAAGCGACCGATTAGACCGCATCTTGTAGCAAACCAGATACATTCACTGCCCTGCACAAAGAGCCGGGACACTGTCAGGTCAACGGGATCTTGAACGCCTGTTTTGTCTGCACAAAAGAAAGCATAGGAATCAGAACATCCTTCCATTTTATGCTATGAAAGTGCATGAAAAAAGCAGGTGACGAATCATGAAAGCATATGGCAGAAAATTTCTTGCAAACAAAGAGCTTTCTCAAGGGGGTCATTCAGATTTAAAACTTACTTGTGGAAATGTGAAACGGCTATAAAAATTCATAAACCTCAAGCTATTACGAAGTGGCTAACGACACAGTGATAATATATATGAAAAATTACTGCATACTTCGTTAAAATTTTCAAAATTCCCCCTAAAGTAAATTAACATAAATATGACAGGAGTATATAAATCTAACACGTAGTCATAAATAAAAAAAAGTTAATAATAAAATATCCTAACCTATCATAGACGAAAGGACACTAGTAAGATCGATATTATGAAGAAAGATATGTTTTTCAGCGCAAACTGAAAGTAGGCGAGACAGTGGACCCAGGTATCCATTGTCACCATCAGAATTTGAACTTTCCACGTTCGATTCCCGATGAATCGTGGGTGTAGGAGGACTTAAACCGGAGACCGCTAGCCAGATGAGTTTTCGAGTGTTTGTTGAAGAACTCTCCCCATTATCATCATTGCCTACAGCAATCGCATGAAGACATGGAGTTTGAGAAGGAAGAGCAAGGCTGACAAGAAAACAAGATTTAGGACTTTATAATCTTGATACTACTTAAAAGTAAGTAGTTGAACTCACTGTCCAACAAAAGCGTCAGTGTTGATGTCAAATCGATGAAGAACACCTCCGCCAACAGTGCCCAGACAGCAAAATTCTTGAGAAAATATTGCAGAAAGGAGAAGGGGTCCACTGGGACCACTTGAGAACCCAGTGGTTGGCAGTTGAAGGGCCGTCGCTCGTAGTACTCGATTTAGACTAATATTACTGCTGAGAGGGGGAGTATCAGGCATCTCTAAACACCACTTGAGGGTCACCAATTGATTGGATCCAGTAGAATTAAGTACTCCCATGCAGATTCGGTGACCAAGTGTTCTATAAAATAAAATGCCTAATTACTTGTCTATTCAATAAGCGAAGACCGAGTGGACTTAAAATAAAACCTGGACTATATTTTGTAGACCCCTGATTGATTTTCAATTCATACAACCCATTTGCTGCTCTTAGGACTATAGAATTTGCTCAGTACAAAATATTCAATTAAGTGAAAGTTAGAAAGAGGAGGCTTCCCATTCAAAGATACAGAGAAGCACTCAAATTTATTTTCAGATAAGTATCAGAGCTAAACAAGTGTGAAATTCCATGAATTAAATAATTGCAAGTAAAAGTGAGATAGCAAGACACTGGCGGATTGGCAGCGAGCCCAATTACCTATGACTACGGCTTAGGATTTATTTACAAAAGGTGAGGAAAACTTGCTAATCTACGGTACATCTAAGTCTTTATAAATAAAAGTTCGTAGAAACTCGGAGGAGCCTGTGACTGGATACTTTTTATGAAAGGAGTAGACATCGGTCCTTTGACTCTTAAGCTAAAAAATAATTAAGTGCCGTGCGTACAATCAACATAGGATTCTCTTTCATTTGCCAACCTTGTCAGATTATAAAGCACCATCAGTAATTTAATTATTTCGACATGTTTTAATTTTCTTAGTAATGGAAATTTGAAGTTTACATATTCCATTGTGACTATAAAATATGGAACATGTAGACGACACTCACACAATAGAAGTAGCAGATTCTCCCGGATTGGCCAGTTTGAAAGTAGAGAGAAAGGTAACCTTCCAGGAATCTCCTTTTGAGACACCATCCCGGTTAGGAGTAGTAGCACAAACAATAAATCGACCATCCGTCGCTGCAATTAACACTCGGTAGGGATTTGGCAATTCTAAAGATTCAACCAAAAAAAGGATACTAGCACTGCTATAGAGTACTAAACAGAATAAGTAAAAATAAGAGACTATCATTTTTCTTTATTTTTTGGGACTTCACATCCGCATAAATTGCGAGTCCATCAAAAATATAATCTACCATAGAAGTTGAATAGGTAAATTTCTAATTAAAGGTTGATTGTGTATTAATTAGTTTATTATAGAGGAGAGTGTGAATCAGTGCAACCCTTGACCAATTACGTTATGCGAATACATCGATTGAACAAAGAACGAAACACGAGTTCAAGACACGTGCATTTCAATTAATCTGATTAAAGTAGGCGGTTGGTGCGGTGACTTAGTTGCATATGGTGTTTAAATTGACAGGTGGGGTTAAAAATTGAACATGACTGAATTGAGAGATTATCGCATATTTATGAAATAATAACCCTGATAAGTATGGCATAGAATTAGGCAAGGAAATTTCAATCAAATAATTTGCTTACCAACTGGCGTTTTAGAAGTTTGCAGGTTTTCATAGTCTTGAACTATATATCTCCCACTGTCAGCTAATGGGGAAGAAGATTCGGCGCCTAAAACAAATAGTGATAAGGAATTGGCAAAATGATTGTTATTCATAAAAAAGAACTATTAGTAAATAGCAAGAAAGTATGAAACTGTGTTAATACAAATAATATTTTCCAGATTTATGCATTTCATATCTGAATTTTGTGCGAATAAATAGTGGTCACATCTACAAAGAATAGGTTCCACCAACTGGGAATAATTTGGTCTTTAGAAAAGAGGAACAAATAATGTGCTACGTTACCTTACGTTGGAAGATGAAGGGTCACTTTGGTGTTTGGAGGTCACTCAAGAAAATTAGAAAAATTAAAATCTAGCATTTAGCTTTCATTTGCGCGTGCCTGATAATTATTTGAAATAGTCTACATTGCAGAATCTACGTGTTCAGTAAATGATTGATGCACTTTCAGTATTGATTAACTTTTAAGTGAAAAAAAAACAAAATTCGAGAGCATCACAAATACCAAAATTCTATTTAAAGTTGAATCATTAGTCATCGGCTCTCCTTTACTCGATCGAGACAGTATTATATGAGCTGAGATCATAGGTTGAAAATGACAGGTCTGGGGGGTGGCACTGACTTGAAAATTCACTTCTTCAATTCCACCCAAAAATATGCCCACACGAATAACAGAATTCTGAACTTCACTGTGTAATGGCCATTTGGTGCGCTCTGAAACATTCTTTTCTCTTTATCTGTCACAATTTTTATTTGAAAATACACCTGTACTCATCCTTGTTCAAATGACTCATAAACTTACACTTATTAGCTCATTCATTTCCTTCACACCTCAACTCTTCCACATCTCTCTAACTCTCTCGATTGCCCATTGTAGTTTATTCAATTCATATTGCACTACATAATTTCTGGATTTACTTCTAGGAGTTGTCGTTTGTTGTAGTAAGATGTAAGTTACTGCTGTAGACTCTACGACCTATCAATGGGTCATCAGTTCTTTCAATCTGTATAGCTCTTAGCCCCAACAAGGTAAAAAACATGGCACAGAGTGAGATGGACAAAGAGACAAGAATCTATTTGTATCAATAGAGTAAGGTTATTAAACGATTCGCCAATAAAACCAAAAGAAATCAACGAAGAGTAGACCTTACAATTGTGTTTGGAAACCCCTCTTGATTCACTCTGAATACTAAAACATTAACTTTGACCAAAGAACAAGGTTTGGTCTGAATTTATTAGACAGGATTCAGTATTGCAAAACTGGAAGAAATAGCTGTGCATGGGCAGATTAACTCTCGTTCAAGCACAGAACTAATGCGTGATGCAATAAGACTTGGAAACCAATAGACACAATTACAACACTCTTGACACTCAACACAACATACCCGCAACTGAGAAGAGAGCAGCTGAGATAGGGAGAAAATCGTCCACAAGATCCATTCTCACTAGGGCATCGTTGAGTTGAAGCGGATCGAAAATGTACAGCTTGCCAACTTTCTTCGACTTCTTGAGTCCAACCACCTCTTCTGAAGCAGCTCCCCTGCCGATGAGCCAGAGATGTTGCTAAAATATTCGGTCGTTTTATTAACATTAAAAAGCGCCGATTCATTATAACTTTAACATAAAAGATTTTAACAATTGCAGGTTGAAAATCAATCGAAATCATGCAAATTATCTTTCACTGAAATCGTGCAATATTCTGTTGATTAGGTCCAAGAAAATCGCTTGAAATGTACCACACTATAGACTAAGAACTCAAAACATCACGACTCAAAAAATTCGCAAATGTGTGCACCCACTTATTCTTAATGAATATTGCTTATTTAAAGATAGATTTATCAATAATTTTTAACTGCATAGCACAAATAAGATTAACAGTACGCCAAACGCTTAAAGTATGTGGAAATTGAGTGATTATTATGACATTCTGAATATACATATATATATATATATATATATATATATATATATATATTTCAAATGGCAGGCTTTATGATATTTATCATTAGCCCTTAAACTTTGACCTCAGCTTCATGAATATATTGTGTTTGGGAGTTTAATTAGCATTTTAAATGATATAGAAATATCTTTGCTCAAATCATAATAAACTAAAATATGAGATTCAAATAAACTGAAAGTGACATCGTCTACCCACATAGGACACTTTAAAATATGCTTAAATGAAAATTATATTCCTTACCGTGCAATCATCATCGAGTGGAGAGGGGACAGACAGGGCGGCAGTCAGCTGAAATAGATGGAAAGCGACATAATTAGGCACTTCATTTTTGATTGCGGAAAAAAGACCAAGTAAAGGCAATCCAATGAGCGGACAAAGGTGAACGATTTATGGTGAAAGCATAGTTTAAGAGAAGTGAGTAGAATAGCAGGGTAATAAGGTGTTTCATTCACTACGCAGATGGATGCGATAATCAAACCCATATCTGAGAAATTGGAAGAACTTAAATTAGAGTCAAAAGATTAGCTTTAAAGGATAAATGTATTGTACTAACACTAGCTTTATCTCCAGCGTTTCTTCAGAATATTTCAAAACCTCAAAAAATCAACATCGAGAACATTTAATAAGAACTCGAACGTTAACTTCAGATCATCCAACCTAACTAATTCGAGTTGGAAAAATCATAAATAGTCGCAAAAAATTGTGAGATGAATCACATATATATGCAAACTAGAAAAACGACTATATCTGTTTAGAAACGAGAATTTCTCCAAAAAAAGTAAATATGGCATTCAAAAGTCGTTACTAGTAGTACATGACAGATCACAGATCAACAATACGTAAGAGTTGCACCTAAAGACAATTCTCTACCTCAATTCTTAGCGTTGATCGTTCTATACTTCGGACCTTTTTCGGTACTGGATTGGCCACAGGACTAAAAAGGGATGCCGGATTTTTGGCGGAGGATGACTCTGACTTGCCCTGTCGAATCCGACCGAATCCACGCACCCATCCAAAGACTGGTGTCACAGCTGCCGACTGATAGATCTTGATCCATTGCTGGGATTGGAAAGTGGGTGCTTCTGATGTGGATGGTGGAGGATTAGAGGCATTAGCAGATTCTTCGCTTTGGCGTTCAAAAACGTCACTGTAAGGTAATACAAAATGAAATCTTTATATTGTTATTTTTATTTCAAATAATTAAATTTTTCACAAAAGCCAATACTCGACAAATAACAGAATACGATACAAACACAAAATACAATTTTTAGCAATTTAGTCAGGAATGCAAACATTGTGTAATTTATAGGAAAAATTTAAAATGAAATAACTGACATGGAAAAAAACCGAAATCTGGACGGTGGACCATATTCAGAATTAAGCGGATATTGTTTCTATTGAAAAAACCATCAATTTGTGGGCATATTCATCTCATATAGTTTCGTAGACACGCAAGTGACCAAAAAGTGTTTATCTTGGGCTAATTAAAAACCTATCCTTATAATGTTGGTATAAACGGATCTGCTTTGAGCCACTGTAGTTGTTATAGAAAAGAAAGACTTAGAGGCTAACCGGTAAAAAGCAGATTTTCTTTCAAAAAATAAGAACGAAAGAGAGAATATGGAACGGAATGAAGGTTGCGACCATGCAGAATCTAAATATCTGAAAAACTTGCTTGAACGTAAGGAAGGAGGATTAAGGCAACGAAACAATTAGTCAACCAGCTTAATTATTGATTACATAACTACAAAATCCGGACCGTTATTAACAATGTCACTGTATGACGTATCCTATTGCGGATAAATACGTTTCCAGAACGACTAATATGCAAGCTCTCCTTTCAAAGCCAGCAAAATGATGAACAACAAAGGCAAAAGAAATCTTCCTTTCCTAAGAAACACAAAAGCAAAGCAAAATGAAACAGATTATAGCTGAATGCCTCTGGTAGTAAGGCATAAAAATCGATTTCTTCACTATCTAACTGAAAGAAGGATGGCATAGAGGACTTAGAAGCGTGAAGAGATGAAGCAAATATGAAATAATTCGATAAATAAATAAAGGCAACATTTAATATTGTCATCAACCCAAACCATACGTGTGCTTAATTTTTGAGAGTCTGTTAAGACATCACTAATGATACCATATAGTACATCCTGAACGACAATACCAAAAATGGACATTATTGCAAGAACTGTTGTTCACTTACCTATCAGAAAGCCTTGTAGCATCCAAACCAAAATCCAGCCTTGGAAAGGATATGAGGTTCAAGCTAAATAGAATGATAAAGTGATTAAAAGATTTCCTGGAAAATGGGTAGACAATCTAATCTCTATTCAATTCACAGCTTCCCGAAAGCAGTCTTGAATTGGTGATGGGGAGACGAATGTAACTGCACATCAGTAACTGTGGGTGGAAGGTCATTCAACAATTCTGGATGACCTCTTTGACTAGCTCGAAGTGTCTCCATGAGTTTAATGGCCTCACGCAACTCTAAAAACCTCTCCTTGTAATAATTTCGATCACTGATCAGACGCGCCATTTCAGCCTTGGTGAAGCTTCTGGTAGTCGAGGGCTTATCGGAACGCTGGTAAAAAAACAAAAAAATAAGAAGTGAGTATGATAGGAAAAGGGTGAAAGAATTTTTCAACTAACCTCTTTGAGTTTAGCGACTTGGGCCTTTAGAGTCTCAATTTCTGTTCTGGCAGTGGTCAGAATTTCATCAGATTTGACCAATTCCACTTGCAGCAAGGTCTGCTTTTCAGTTAACTGTTTCACTGCGTCCTTTAAGAGCTCATTGTCCCTATTGATAGAATGTATTTATGAAATACATGCAACTCATTAATTTTCAATAAATCAATTATTCCTTTGGATTCACAAGGCTAAAGAAACATCTATTTCCAAAAGCTACAAATAGCTCTACAAAGAAGAGGGGACTGAGGCTGATGAAAAACGAAACAAAGTCCTGTATCATTGCTGTGTAGTGAAAGCATTATAAAAGGTGATAATCTTGCATTTTTATTCATTTCACCTTTTCTACTTTAAGGCTGTAAGCTGTGAAGCGCCCTTCAAGTTTCTAAGAGAGAATCCAAATGGAGCGGTATTACCAACCCCTCCTGATTTAATAGGCACCGAAGATCGTTGGCAAACACATTTGGTCAATTAAGGAGACGAGTGTTGAATTTGAATTTAGGTACGTGAACTGTCCACTATGGTAAATTTGTACAATTTGAGTCTGAAAAGGAAATACAAAAGCCCTACTTGATAAACTGGCATTTTTCCCTTTTAATTTAGCAATTTGTTTGACTTTCTGTTAGACGAGCGCCGTCTTTTCCCAAAAGTAGACGTTGTACTGTTGATGATAATTTTAAGCTCATTGAAGTATCTCATTATCTTTTTTCACCGGAAGCAATGAATAATGAGGTGAAAATAATCGCCTAATTTGAAAACATTCTATAAAGATTATACCAAAATAATTTGTACGATATGAAACATCAATTAAAATAAATTTCATTCCAGACTTCTCACTGAGCTTACTTAACAAAGAGTACTTCAATTGGCGTTATTTTATGCCGGATTTTAACATTTCACCTCCATAAATAGGAACTATTGGGTTGGCAACTAAGTCATTGCCGTTTTTGTTGACAGATTCACTCTATACTTTCTTTTATTTTGTTAACGTGGCCAGAGCATCTAACCTATATTTTTTCTTACTGTATGGGCTTCTAGGTTAATTAGTAAAAAATTTTTTTGCTTAGTTCTTTAGTTTTGTTTTTATCCCAATTTAAAAATGAAAGAACAGGACGTGCACTTCCGGCACATTTTATTGTATTACTTCTGAAAAGGCAAGAACGCATCGCAAGCACAAAAGAAGTTATGTGCCGTATATGGAGATGAAGCCTTAAAAGAAAGGCAGTGTCGAAATCGGTTTGAAAGATTTCGTTCCGGTGATTTTTCACTGAAAAATTCACAACGATCTGGCCGCCCAGTCGAAGTGGATGAAACCCATATCAAGGCCATTATCGATTCAAATCGTCACAGCACAACACGAGATATTGCTGAGAAGCTCAATGTGTCGCATACATGCATTGAAAAAAAATTAAAAACCCTTGGTTACGTCAAGAAACTTGATTTATGGATCCCTCACCAGTTAAAGGAAATTCATTTGACGCAACGGATTAGCATCTGTGATTCGCCGCTACTGAAACGCAATGAGAATGATCCATTTCTGAAGAACCTAGTTACTGGCGAGGAAAAGTGGATAGTTTATAACAATGTTACTCGCAAGAGATCATGGGTGAAGCAAGATCAACCAGCCCAAACAGTATCAAAAGCAGAGATTCACCAAAAAAGATTATGCTGTCAGTCTGGTGGGATCACAAAGGAATTTTGTATTTTGAACTCATGCCGCAGAACCAAACGATAAATTCAAATGTGTACGTTGAAAAACGCGAAAAACTGAAGGATGCAATTGAAGATAAGCGGCCGGCATTATCAAATCGGCGGAAGGGTGTTGTTTTCCATCATGATAACGCAAGGCCCCCCCCCCCCACACATCTTTGGTTACGCGGCAAAAATTATTGGAACTGGGTTGGGATGTTTTGTCACACCCACCATATAGACCTGACCTTGCGCCTTCGGATTACCATTTGTTTCGTTCCATGCAAAACTCTTTAAATAGTAAAAGTGTTAACAACGCGGATGATGTCGGCTCACACCTAATTCAGTTTTTTAATAGCAAAGACCAGACATTTTACGAACGGGGAATTTTTACTCTGCCAGAACGATGAGAAAAGTCATCGACAAGAACGGCCAATATCTAATTGAATAAAGTTATATTTTTAAACAAAAATTCCGAATTTGCCTTCTTATTTGAAATCGGCAATGACTTAGTTGCCAATCTAATAGAATTTGTGATTGTAAAAACTCAAATGCAGTGTCATCCCTAATCTAGAGCATAACTCAACTTCACCCGAACAATGAGAAGTAGACTGTTTGACAGCTGACTAACTACGGCACACAGATGCATGCCAATCATCACCCTGACACATCGATAACTGGATACGTCTAGATATGCATTATTGTACATATTTTAAAAATTCTGAATCTTAGAAAGTGGTAGGCTCCTAACCACCATAGAATTACTTCATAGGTGGGAATGATTTTAATTATTAGCTGTATGTGGTTATATTATAAAAAAGACAAAACCACGAAAGATATTTCCTGAATAATTTCATCTAAATGGCAACGCAAAGGGAGATCAAATGCATTACCCTTATCACCAGAGATAAATTAGGGAGACTGTCATTACAATGGATAATCTCTTATTGACTTAAATAAAATATACACGTGGGTGTTTAGATTTTGTATTTTACTTAATAAGCCTGTGCTTTGACGTTATTTACTTTACAGTAACGGCTAGTGATCCCTATTGCAAAAACAAAAGAGAGCATTTCGTTGCGTTCCCGATAGGCAGGAATGCGGTTAGGCTAATAGTGAAAATAACAGTAATCAATTTTTTAAAGGTTTGATCATGGATTAAAATGTGCTATATGAGCATCGTTGGGTTGTTAGAACCAAATTGAAAGTTTGACAAATTATGTCCAGCTTCCAACTACAGATGAATACAAATTTATCTCAATCATAAAATCTCTTCACAACCAACTTACGCCTTTAGAGCATCTCTTTGAAGTAGTAGATCATCCTTGACAATATTCAATGCATTTCTAATATCAAAAAGTACGAATTATAATCCCATTTGTATAATAATCTAGCTTATAAAACCTGGACGCACTTCGTTTCCATTAGTTCCATATTCTCTCGAATGAGATTATTCACCTCCTTCTGCATCCCGGCTGCAATAAAAGCAACAATGTCAGCGGTTTCACGAAATACCACCATAGCCGGTGTTAACATTTAAGTGCTGTTGATTAGGACATTAAGCGAGTAATGAAAAGCTCAAACATGCATATTGAAATGGGAAAGGATGTTAATATTACACACGGTTTAGAGATTATCATATAACGATACTGTGCTTTCTTACATAATGAACCATCTAAAAATAATGGTAATTAAGTTGTTATTATGATTAAATGGTATGTGCTGGCTTTTCTTAGAAAACAAAATGACTGCAGGCTTATTAGGCTTTGAGAAAAACTGTTTAAATCTCTCAACATTAACAAACCAGGAAATGTGTCCAGGCTTAGCTCAGAACATATGTCAAAATATGTTTTCTTTTCACGTCTTAACTTAAAATGGATCAACATCGAAACGTAGCAAAACCCACGCGTAAAAAGCTTTGATTGCTTGAGTTGACCAACTTTAGCTAGCAAAAAAAAGAACTTTAATTGAATTCTTTACCATGCAGAACTACTTTAAATATCTGACCAATTAAGTTAATAACAAAAAAGGAACCCCATCCACTTTCCACTTAAAACATCACCTTGAAGCTTGGTCATGAACTCATTCTCATAAGTTGAGTTACTAATAATCAAACTGCCCTCAATGAATAAAAAAGTGTTTACCATGATTAACCCGGAATTCTAATAAGGTGAGGCTCTTTAAATAACCCAAAAAATTCTCATTCCATATTTTAATTTACAAAATTCCCCGTGCTTTCAAATTCCTTAAGTTTATTTCGGTAATAGCATTTTCTACAGCATGTATGGAAAATAGACCACAAATATATATATCATTTTAATATGATTTAAGGAATGATTAAATTACATTTGAGAGAAGCGGCAGAAGGATCAAAATAGGTTGAGAAAGGGGAATTGGCTTAGTTCTATCAACATACCGAAATCAAATATAGCGTCGAAATCGGAGCTAGGCACCTGAGTACAACTCACTTCATCTGCATGCGATACAAATTCGAGACATTTGAGGATGACAATTTGAGGGAGAATAATTTCACACATCAGCATGCGGACGCGAAGATAGATCAGGCATGAAGCAAGGCAAATAGAAATAGGACACTTGATCATGCAAATTATAAGTCAATTTAAAATAAAGCAAACAGAATTCCAATGGAAGCGATTGTAGAAAGTATTTTAGCCAATCGAATAAGAGATAACAAACACATTAACCAATAGGATTAAGGATAACAGCGCATATCAAACAACAGGGGTTAAATTTTCTTATAGCAAAGCCTGAGCAAAATAATAATGTCTAACCTGTAGTATCATCTTCTAGAGGCACATTAAGATCTCCTTCCATTGCAGAAAGTTCATCGAAGCCAAGCCCATCACTATAAAAGGACAGATATGTTGCCATTATTTTCAAAAAACATGCTTTAGTAAATCTCGAAACATGTCAGTCACCTAGTTGTGTCAAAAGCGTTGTTGAGCAAACGGTTACTTGCTAAATGAAAATGAATATAATCAGGCAATCATAAAAATTGAATGAAACAATAGTGCTTTATAATTACCCGAATCTCGTGATTTAGCAGGAGCTGAAGCGGATATAGGAGATGAATTTTTTATTGAATCGCTAAGCTCTGCATGAGATCTTAGCAATTCGTTTATTCTTTCATGGAGTTTTGAGCTCTCTTTCATAGATTCCATCTCTTTCTGTTCCATTCTGGAAACTGAAACAAAAGGCGATATCGTCAAATAATTTTGAAATTCGCTTCAATATGAAGTTTTCTCACTTTGTGGAAAACCAACATCACGCTCTTCGGAATGTGTGATAGAATACTTAACTTACTTAAGTCTACCTATCTCCTATTAGTTAAAAAATGTAAGTAAAAGAAAATTTTAATTCTTAAAATAATGCGAGACAGCTAGTTCATACGAGGTATGACTTTTATTGGGTGAACTAATGAGGAAATATGTTAAATCAATGTCAATTCAACAGTTGCTTACGCTGTTCTTCCGTGTTTTTGGTCTTCATTTCCAGAAATCGGATTTGAGTTTCGTTTTGAACCAAAGCCTCGTTGAGAGTTTTTCTTTCATTTTCAAACTGCTCTTCAATTTGAATCAGGATCTATGAGGTAAAATACATCAAGTTGTTAAAGCATTCAATTTAATAAGAACAAAACTGCAATTTACACCAATTTCCTTTAATAGATAAGGCATAAAATTTAAAGTAAACGTTCATAAAGTAACACCGGCAGAGGAGTGGTTAACGTGCTCATCTGCAAAGTCAAAGATCACGGATTCAACCCACATCGATGAATACCAGTTGGATGGAATAGCCAACCACAATGCTTAAGTTTGGCTTATAGGGATTACGTACACTGCAATTCACCGGAAGTAAATCGTTCACTCATTTCCCTCAAACTTGTTGTGAAGATTTTCATTCTTATTTTTCCTTTATATGTCCTCTGAGTCGACTCAAACTTGTTTTTCAATCAATCCCCTCAAAGTGGCATTCTTGAGCTGCTATCAAGCAACAGCATCATCAAACGCAGAAAACTCGGTTTAGTCCACCCGTAGAATTAATGTGACCTGATGAATAGAGCGGTTGTCATCGTCCGGCGCAATTTTTTACAAAGGATAAAAGTCCCCCTGAAGACTCTCACATCAAGTCACCAGTATTCCCAAACCACCGAGTTTTTTTCTGTGTATAGTAAACCAGGGATATCGTTATAAATATGCCATCAAAGACCCAATCCAACTTCCTTGTTAAGAATTCCCTAACTTTAATTGAAGCGTTTCAAATACCTTAATTTGTGCACACTATAAAACTTAACAAGATTACTAATGGGAAGCTTTCGAAAGAAGGTTTAGAAATATGCCTCTCGGTGACAAATATCTGTTCTTTGGCTATCAATATATTCAGGAGCACAAGATGTAAATAAACATGTTTGTAGAATTCATATTTTGACAAAAAAGTACTAGATCTTAAACCCTAATTTACATTTCGTCCCATAAGTTAATGTAACTTGGTTAGACACTTATCAATATTTCCAGATTCATAGAATAAGTTTGAATATTTGTTGAAATCTTTGAAAGTCATATTAGGCCAAAATTTCCTATTCTCATAAGTTTTAGCGAATCTAAATTGACGCTTTTACGGTACAAATGTATAACGGTTTAAGTTGCTAAACCGTGGCTATGTTTTAATACAATGCAACTTGATGGTTGAAATAATACGGACTTTCAATGCTATGCTGATGGTTCTCACTAAGTTTTTATCGTGTTTAATTTAAACCAGAGAAAACAAGATGTGTTTATTTATTAAAAATGTGCAATAATTTGCACTCAAAACTTGAACTGTTGAAAGTGAATAAGTACCTTAATGGACCAACGTGGGGGAAGACAAGAAAAAAAATACAATCGAATAATCCAATGATCTAGAGTAGATTTCTATAAACTAAATTTCAGGACACTGAAACAATTTCACTCTGTTCCATGTGCTCTTCGACAGATTTGCCTATTGGTGGCTTTTAGCGCAAGCGGTGAATCGATTATAGCAGATGAAACTCATTACGTAGTATACTGTTTTCGGTTCTTGAAAATCTCACAAGCATGATGTAAATTATAAGATAACAATTTGCAATCAAAGTGTATAGTAGACAAATTATTTAAATTCAATTGGTCATGTCAAACTAATGAGAGGAAAGTAAGTGAGGGTAATACCAAACCCCATTAGTTTACTCGTAATTAAAAGGCGATCCCCTATTCAATTGATTCGCTTAAATCATGAAGGCACTCATAAACTCTCAAATGAAAACGTTACAATGAGGAATGCATTTTACGATTTCGATATGCCATAAAGAATCCTATATCAGACTAATAGTTGATAATGCAAAGAAAGTGGCTGTTATCAAAATTACAGGGGATTCCACTGACATTTGGCAATAATGGCATTCAGCTTACATTGATTGTTATTATTCATATCGGAAAGATCAAATCCATACAACATACACGCATCTCTAGTACAATAACAGATTGCGGAGATAAACATTAGGAATGAGTAATATATATATATATATATATATATATATATATATATATATATATATATATATATATATATATGCAGCATTAGTCTATTTCAATCAAAGGATGTACTGAATCGAGTGAATACAAACTAATGAAATATAAAACAACATCAGAATAATTAATCTAACCAAATAAAAAAGGTTAATGGGAATACTTTTCACAGCAACCCGATTACTTATAATTTTCTAAAAAAATAATTATCAATAAAACAGAAATTGCATTAGAAGACATAAAAATTGAAAATGAACATTGATAACACACGAAAGTGAACTAACATCCTCGGTATTTCTACTGGCTGCCCTGACTTTGACTATTTCCTTCGTAAGAACCGCATTTTCATCCCTCAGTTGCAAAACCTCGGCCTTGTAAGCAGCATGATCTTTGAAAGATTCATCCATTTGTTCAAGAACCGTCACAACAATGGGCACTAGTCGTTGGACTATTGCCGATGCTGAACAAGAAGTATCTGAATCAGCTTCCATGGCTAGAATAGCTTCGAATTCATTGTTGAAGAGATGAGCAATGGCTTGGACTTCACCCGAAAGGGCTGTAAGGTCTGCTACAACTTCCGAAGATGAGAGAAGGCCAAAGTTTTCATCTTGTGAGGACCTGCTACTACGGAAGTTAGAGGCGTCGGAAACTGCCTTATCGACTCCGCAATCGGAGTTCATTTTATGGAAAAATTATAGGTAATGATCCAGCTGTAATTAGGAAAAATTCGCAAACAATTAAATTATTATAAAATTTTAATGGCATTAACTGCAACAGATAACTTCGAAGCATTGGAAAGTTTTTTATGACTTCGTTAGATTAACACAACTGAATGAAAATAGAAAGGAAAACAACGCTAAAATGTTTCCCAGCAACATACTTTAACTAATGTCGCAAATATGTAATGATCAAGCCAGTATTATTTTTGATACAGATTTATTAAATAATAAGGCAGAGTAATTACAATCAGCGCAATTGAAACTTGAAACAAATCAACATTTAGCAAAAGAAAATTCTAGAAACTTTATAACTTTAAATGCAGAATATCAAAGCCTTAAACATACATCTACACTGTACGCCTCTTAAAATATTTTTTCAATATCGAGCCGGATTTCCTAACTATTTCTGGAACTCAAGATAGACGACAGATAATGGTGGCGTAAAATGTATTTAAGCAGCGCGGCAATCAACACAGACGCCCACGAAAGGATATAGCAAATGTAAACAACATATTTTAACATATTTAGAAACATGTCTCAAAACTTTAAAGTTATATACAACTTATTATTTCCTTATGTTTGAAACTTATTATTTTCGTTAGTTAATTTAATACTTTAGTTATTGAAACTAGAAAATTTCTCATAGGTCCTTTTTCGTAAATGCTAATATCTTGATACGGTTGCATATGAACTATTTAAAAATCGTTAAGGCGATCTTTATCAAACATTTAAATTAGAGTATTCCACACCTCCAGAGGTGATTCAACACCAATTCCCTATTTTGCTAATGAATATTATTTTTTTAGCATTTCACATTTTGTGGAAGGAAGTACATACTTTTATTATAATTTACCATGCGATATAATCCATAAATTACCAAGATTTTGCAGTCTAGGGCTAATAAACAATTCTTCAAATGTTATAAGTTCATTCTCCTTATATTGCTCGCCATTTTAGTTTAAAAATCCTATTTGAAACTAACTTTCGTTTCTTATCACAGATTTAAATAATATTTCATTTAAATTATAGCCCGACGGCCTACCTGGTAAAATCAAATCAACTCGTAATTAATTTCATTTCCTTCAATTCTAGAGTAATTAAGTCTAGATAAAGATCCTCATAATAATAATATTTACCATCGGTTTCGTCCTAGTATTTGAAGATGATAGAATAAGCTGCCACTTTACTTATTCTCTAGACTCATACTAATAGTACCCCTCTAACTTTAGTGTCTAATATAATAGTCAAATTTGACAAGCCTTAAAGAAGCTTTGATGTAGTGCCATCACCCTTCCAGACTTCCCCTTAAGATAAAACCCAAGGAAATGTCTGATTAACTACGTAGTTTTGATTAAATATGCAGCATTTAAGGCTTATTGCATTGCAATGACTAAATCACACCTGGCAGCGAAATTTTAGCAATTCTAATATGGTGATCGTGAACAACCCCACCAGACCAAAATCTATTAAGGTCATGATTGTCGGCGTTAAAGGATGAGGATACCCAAAACCAATAGTCTGCCAGATCCAACAACATTGGACAATTTCAAAGGACCAAAATAAAGAATGATCTACCAGAGATAACCCCAGAAGTACAGCGTAATTCTTTGCAACAAAATGAATTATGTTTAAATCCCCAAATAAACATAAGTGTGATAGAATATCACAGTGATTTATCACAGTTGCTAGACACGTGAAATTTTAAAATAATTACATATTACAATTTCCAGTACAACAGCAATATAAAGGTCCATGAATTAGTCGACAATTTGGAAACTAATTATGAGACGTAATGGAATACCGATATTATGCAGTGGAAGGAAAAGAAATTGACGACAAAATTAAATAATCCAAAAATACATAAGAGAAAGGGAAGAAGGTGGAGGAAAGGAATTATGCTTTCATACACTTCTCTATGCAGCCTTGTTGCCCATTCGGACTTTTGATGTCTGTAAGATGAAAGAGATATAGTAAAAATAAGTCAAGGCAGAGACTAACCTGAAGGATGGAGACAATAACACCAAATAAACCGATTGCAGAGCCAAAGATTTCAACAATGAGAATTTTGACAAAAAGTGTTGGGTTGGCAGCATCTGCGAGGGCAGCACCAGAACCGACAACACCAACACAAATGCCACAAAAGAGATTGCAGAAACCGACAGTTAGGCCACCACCAAATATAGCGAATCCAGCCAGATAATTGGCTCGCAAAACCGCCTCGGTTGCCTTTTCAGGGTTGAAAGGCTGAAAGAGAGTAGATGAACAAGGGAAATAGACATTAAAGCTGATAAAGCTGAAAATAGCACATGATAGGGCTACTGTTAGGTTACTTAATACAGTAAAGGTAAATACCAATTCAGAAAGAGCTAAATAAAAGTTTAGGGGCATGGTGAAATCACACGATCTCCGATTAGAAAATTTAAAGCCAATTATCCAAATACCGACCAAAGGTTAAACACTATGCCTAGTCTTTTCAGATAAATGAATATACAAATATACGATAACTGAGACGACAACAATGATTACGATACAAAATAGATCACAAGAGCACTTATTTTGATTAAAGAAACGTATTTTCAAGCAATCATCACCTGTAAAGAAGATATTGAAAATCCCAAATACGGATTTTGATACTATTCAAAACATTTCAATTTTCAAACGGATTGGCAAAAAATGATGATAGTAATATGATTGAACTTTGAAATAAAATCTTAAACCGGAAGGCTGATCGAAACATAACCTTCAATCAATACCCAATAAATAGGAAAGTCGTTTCGAGATAAAGTACTGTGAGCATGTATAGAAAAAAATAAGTGGAATAAGTTTTGCTAGAACGGTAAAAATGATGGTTAAATTTAGTAGTAAAAGCAGCCATCAAATAGGTTGGTTGATGCCGTAAGTTTGATGGCGGATCCCTAGCTAGCACTAGGAATTATGGATTACAATACTATTATAAATAAGTCATTAGGCAGGCAGAATGATAAAAAATATATGCACCTACCTCGATTTGGTTGCCCATAACAATGGCCATAATAATTCCATAAATAGCTACGGCTTCGCAGAAAATAATACTAATCAAGTTTTTAGTTCTAATACGAGGAGCCTTGACGCCTGCACCAAGAATGCTAGTTCCAGTGATGTAAATACCCCTAAAATACGATAATAAAGAGAAATAATAAAGAAGTATAAATGAACATAAAATTTTGATGAAAAAAAAACATACCAAGCAGCCCCAACTACAGAAAGAGATATGGCAAGCCCCACACCAATGCATGCCCACAAGTAAGGTGAGATACCCTCCAAAATGTGACCGATATCAAAACGGTAACCATTGCCGCTCAAAAGATAATATAATCCTAGAAATAAATAGTGGATTATCATAGATTACCTATATATGTGGCAATTAACCCAAAGATATAGAGTGGGCCTTTAACAGCCACAGACGATGCCATTGCTATTCCTACGATTAAACTAGCCTATCAGCGCAATGTGTAAGTAAACTTTATGAGTGTTGGAACGAGTTACTATAGGATAAACAAATGAAGCATTCCATGTGAATGAATTCATGATTAATTGTGTATAGTTTCGAATTATTAAGTTTGCTTTGTTGCCAGTTTGTAATTAAAACCGCAATACTTCTAATATCACACAGTGCTTATCTATTTTATACAAGTACCTTACTAAACCAATAATAACTATTATTTCGACTGTTTAAAAGTTATTTCCACTAGTTTTAGAATTTAATACATTAATTTCATCATTACGTCAACCGCAACTTAATGATATTCTAAAGGCGTTGTATCATTTATATCGGTTGTATTAATTTTACCCTGTTAATAAAATACATGAAATGATTGAAGAACCCTCTTTCAATTATTGGCAAACCTTTTGATAAACGTAAGTGTTTCATAAATACTAAAGTCGTAGCGCTTGATAAAGAGCGTATGAAACTTATTTCACTTGCTCGGCATCTATTTACTACATTAATGCCGTATTTATCATGTAAACTTTTATGGCAACAATACTCTTATTACAGGTATATTTAAAGGCAGATAAAGTATTTATTACAATGATTTAGTTAGAATCGTTCACTGATACTCGGTTCGCGGCTTCAGCAATCTGAACATAAGTTGAAATTGTGGAGCTTACAACGCCATCATATCTGAATAAAGAAATCTAATGCTCACTCAGATATTCTCAAAGGTGTAGACGTGCTACTTATTTCGTAGAGAACAATTACGGTTATGAGCGCGGAGACTTCTCATTTAACAACAGCACTGTTTCATAATTTCTTCGTTTTATCTAAGGGACTAAGCTCTATGTCGCGCACAACCCAAATAAACGCATTTAACCACCGACACCAGTTCCTCTGTAGTGTTGAGGTAGCTTTGCTAAGTTCGAGAGCTTTACCATACTCATGGATCTTGGGTAAATACCATTGAAAATAATTCAAGGCTTATTCGAATAGCAATCAGCTACAATTTCTTGCTGTTTGAATGTTATTTTTGATTACACCTCGGTTTCAAATTGACTCTATACGGTAATCAAGTGTTTTAGTCAACAAATAGTAAAATTTAAATTTGGAACGCATTAGAAGTAAGCCTTCTTGTATGGTTTTATGATTTCAAACCAATTAGTAAAAAGATCTGTTTAATTTGAATCTTGTGTTTTGAAGAGGGTTATAAGAAGACGCATAGATCAGATATTCTTAAAATTTCTTTAAATATCTTTATCAACACAGAGCTCTATGTTTTTTGACATGCAAAAATCTCTTTCGTATTTGCAATTATATTAGTAATCTACAAGAGATTTAAAATCATTTTGACCTAACGAAATATTGTAGCGAAATTATTTATATTCAAATAATGCATTTTTTGAATTCCAAATTTCCCACGTGCACTTCAGTCTGAAATTTGTTTTATTCCTCTAAAATACCCCAACATAATTATCAAATTAAATGTTTGGAATTTATTCATTCGACCAATTGCTAGACCTTAGTTGTGTAAAATACACAAGGACTGGGGCGGTTCTCATCATATTTACGGCAGTTTAACGGATTAAACATTTGAATCACCTTTTTATTTTCTTATTCTGCCTAAAAGGCTGGGAGCTAGACAGCCATTATTCCAGTATTTCCGTAGCTTCGGTTTGCTACATAATATTATCGAAATTCCATTTAAATTAAATAAATAAGCATGTGCTCCAACATTTCACTGGCTTGAGGTGCATATTCTTGAGAGCTTCATATGGATTCGATTAATATTACTTATTGCGCCCTTTCACACCCTCCTCAATGTTAGTTATTCTCATTTCTTTATAACAAATCGGTGTATTGTCAAAGTCGCCAACCTAGCTCTATCGCTCACGACAGTTTTTAGTAATCAGATTTAGTACCTTATGCCTATTTCGAGGGTGGGAAATCGTTCTGAGCTCATCTTCGATCCGTCGCTTGCATAAGCGTGTCCCAAAGTGAAATTCCTTATTGGCCTCTTCTATCACTGCGTTGTATAAATGTCCAGCAGAGATGGGATGCCCTGTGTATGGCCTTGGCATATCCATTGCTTTAGTTTTTACTCAAGTGGGGGTGGTCACTAGAATAATGGCTTCAAATTAACTTACAGTCAATAGGTTGGCTAAAAATGCTTTATCGTGTACGAAAATATAATTTCGATTGTTCTCTATTGGTTTGCCTGAAATCTTAACGTCAAACTGGCAGGCCTCTTCACGACATAATGAAGTCAATTGCCATTTATTGCTCACCTCACTTTCTGACCAAAAATTTTGTGCAATATTTTGAAATTTAACCATTAGGACTTCAATGGTTATAAAACAGTAATGTGAATTGAATTAAGCGCGCCTAAGCCAATAGTTAAGATAAAAGAAAAATGTTGATGCTACGGTAATATATGAACCATGTGGGGATACTAAAAAATATTGGATATGATAGCCAATAATTTTTCATTTATGAATATTGAGTGAGAATATATATGATTGGATAAATGTCATAAAGTAGTAATGGTAAATTAACCAGCACATCGATTTGAAAGCCAGTTACTACTGAGTGGTTCAATTTTCAATTTAATCTGTTCACATTGAGTAATGTGTGAGACTACGTCTCGTTAAGGTGATAGAATGCGAGATGCTCATAGGAGCGATTCCAGGACGCCTACCCTCTATCGAAGTTAATTGTAGCGAACAGTTACCCCGGTAGGCATAGGAAGTGGTAAAAGTGGCATATTAGTGCTTTATGATCAATATCAACCAAACGACAATGTAATCAATAATAGAGGTTCAAAAGATTTTAGCAATGAGTCAGATTTTTTTACATTTCAATTATTTAAAATGCACTTGTCAAGTACAATAACATGTAATCAGGTTAGACTTTCTTTATATTGGGAGAGATTATTTAAAGCAAGACTCCAACATAACGCGATGCGAATCAGAAACAAACTAGCGGTAATTAGTCTCAAGATATCTTGGCATGTAAAATGAAGCACAATAACTCAACCTAGATAGGAAAGTGGTGTAATCCTGCAGTATTATATTAAGATAAATAAGTACAATGGTAATGATGAACGTTTCTAACCTAATTAAAGACTAATATTCAAACTAAAGGTCAAGGATAACATTATGGCATATGAAATATCGCGTTTGTACTTTGGATGTCTGATTAGCGTAGTTTTACACGAAGGTCCACTGTCCGCCTGAGCAGAAAAAGGAGTGTTGAAAATCGCATATTTAAGAGAAGATAGCGCATTAACACTCTTTCCTGACCCACAATAATACAGTTTAGAAATTAAACTGATATATTGTGTATAGTTAGGATGATTTCGATTAGCAAATTATCTGCTTTATTGGAGTAACACACAGTTAGTGGTTAGAATCAGGGGACATTGTCATGCTTCGACTTAATAGAACGCGTGTAGCGGATTGCTGCGCTAGTAAAGCCTGACCGACTCAGAAATCTCTATGGCAGATTCTCCAACATCTAGCTAGACTCCCAGAACAAGCTAAGCTATAGCCCAGCCATAAGGGAAACAGACGTGTAGCACGAAATGCGTTTATTCGGTACGTATATTGATAGCGAAGTGTATGTTTGGCAAAGCGATTAGTTATCAAATAACTAGCATGATTCGTGTGAACATTAATAGCTAAATATTTCTGAGTAGTGTTCTATAGCAGGATTTCTCTTTGGTCATTAATGAAGTTTCTCGCACACGTCACAAAGTTCAAGGCTCAACTTTCTCCAACAGAATAAATGAGCAAATCTTTGCCTTCGATGTTCAGTTTCTAATGATACATTGCTTGATGATGATAGTTGAGCTATAAATTCTATTTCAGTAGACCTTCCTAAAATTTTAATTTTTCATTTTGATAAATCTCGAAAGAGATTAGTAGGTTCATATAGTGCAATTATGGAAGGCCCCGCCTTAGCAACTAGTTATTTCGGATTTTCAAATGAATAGTTGCGGCAATCAGATTAATGATCCAAATCGAGTCAACAAAAAAATAATTATCAACTCATATAAGGTTTTGATGAATTATAACACCAAAACAACGCCGTTTCTCTGTGAAGAGCGTGAAACTGAACAGGCTAGAAATACCTGGGTTATTTAAACGAAATTAATGTACTATAACAAAGGAGAAAGCATTTACATTCATTACTGTGTGCAGCTACTTGTACTGCGCACAAAACACCTACGGTTGGCTCATCCGCTTACTCAAGGCTTTAAAGCGGAAATTAATCGAAGGGGAGACCAACCTAAATCGAAATCAACTGGCCAATAACCTGCGAGTATTTAGGACAAGGAAGTCACAAATTAGGCGAACAAATGATGGAATTTGTACTTCAAGGCGACTAGCATCCACCTTGAGGAAAAGATATGAGATGGAATATGGACCCAGTAATTATAACTCCTGTAGCGTACGCAATCCTCACACGATAAAACTGCGAACCCAAATATCCTGGAGTGTGCGGCCGTGCGCGCAGAGTCCGCTATTAATGTTTGTTTAAATTATGCCAGATGTATGGGATAACTAATCACGTTTCCGGGAGACTTTCAAACTATGAGAATTTACCATAGAGATTTCTGAGTATACTCAAGCCTTATCAGTGTAGCAACCCACGCCACCCTTCACTGGAGTATTTTATTATTTCGAGTGTTGCCATTTTATTGAATAATTAGAAGTCGTACAATTTATTTGCTTCGTCATAAGCCTATTCCTAAAAAACCCAAAAAAAATCCAAGAAAACATAAATCTAGAAAAAATATATTTAAGAAAAGTACCATTGGTTTTTGCGGGTGAAAGGTTAACCATAGGGAAGTGACGACCGGAAAGCAAATAGAGAAGTGTCACTAAAGGTTTGAGATCCATTCCCTTGTCAGGTCATTTCCTCACACGATAAGAATACCTACACAATGATTCCGATCGCACTCAAGTAAGTGCGAAAGGGACTTGAAACAACTAGTAGGCAAGCTATTCAAGTCAAGCATCATGACTAGGGAGAAATCCACGACAAGTTTCAGCACCACAGAGACACGGTTTGGCCGACAAACTTCCGCTAGACCATTCTCCATAGTCATAAGCTACCTCCTCTTCCATCGGAATGTTCCTTTTGGCAAAAAAAGCGAGAATGGGAAGTAGGGAATCCACCCTAACAGGAATCACGGTTAGATTCGGATTACACGAGTGATTAATCAGACTGGATATTGGAAGAGAATCACCATAACCATCACATGCTCCGTCCACAACTGTCTCAAACACCATACAAGCATCTCTCGAATCTCCAGCGAATTCGCGTACTTGGAGAACGTAAACATGCCCACTTTCAGAGGAATGCTTGAGAGAAATCCTAGCTGAGTCAGCAGAATTTATGTAAAGTCCCTTATAGATGCAAACAAACTCACCAGCTTCGATATTTCTGGACGCACAAACTCCCAAACCTTTACCACAAGCATCGACTTGTTTAAGTAAGCTGAAGTCGTCTATTTTATTTTGTACTAGGCGATTTGAACATGACACAGAGCAGGAACAGTCCGCATTACATTCGTAGATGGGACGATGAAGAAAGTCAGAGAAGGAATGTTGCAATTTACGAGAGGTAGGTAGGTAATTATGTCCACTGGAACGGAGAAGACAGCTACATTTGAGGGGATCAGTACAGGTGCCTTGACAATCACAGGAAGGATTTTGAGAAAATATTAAGTCCGAAGGAAGGTTACTATCAAATAACATTAAAAAATCTATAAATTAAAAGTTAAATGTTTGTCAAAACATTTAGGCGTTAATGTAAAAATATATTAAGAAAGACAAAAATGACCAAAATGATTCAGAGTCATTCTATGAATTACAATAGGTGTAAAAATTGAAGGTTCAAATGGCTTCTTTCACATAACTTTAATAATGATCGTGGTAGAAAGTTTGACGCAAATACATAAAGGAAAACTTACCAGGACGTAAACTTAGTTTAAGTCACTTGGGCTAATTTTTCACCCATTACCCAGGGTCATGTATATTTTCCATAAATAAATTTTTTTACGAAGAGTCGAAATTAAGTTTTACTACATTTTTCAGTGGAAATTAAATAAATCAAAGGCAAAGCTTACAAGTAATTTAGTAAACCTTTGAATTAATTGTTAATTGCTTTCTTCTTTTGATTTATTTTAAATTCGGCCAATTCAATTTACCTTTTCAAGCTATGTTGAGTGAGAAATACGGAGCGGTGATTTATGGAATTTTGAGTATTCCTAGATTAGTTTGATGTCACTGCTTCATGACATGGAATTAGGGAATTAACGATTTACATGTTATAGGCATTAATCCTTAAAGCTAGACAATTTTATCAAAATTCTAAAGCAATGTTTGGATAAACTGAATTTAGTAACTTAATGGTGTATTAATGAACTTCAACTCCGAATTACTGATGGGAAAAACTAACCGACGACAATCTATACTTCATTCGCTTTAATGAAAACAACTGATTGAAATTTTGTTCGAAGGTAGCAATTATTAAATAGAAATTGCAGATTATTGCAAGAGGAATAGGTGACATTTCCCAGTCACTCAACATCGAAGTTGTTTCTCTATCATTCGTTTGGGGTGTCTACATTTAAAACTTTCGATCAGTTTAATTAGCCAAATGGTAATGTCTACCTTGAAAAGAAATCAATGAAATAATGTTTTCGAATAATTGTTACGTCCACAAAAAATTCATTTGTTTGCTTACCAAGACAGTTAATTTGATGTAATGATTGGACATGAACCTCTGTGGGGCACGTCATAGCATGCACGCACACCAGGATTCTGAAGTGCGGCGTACAACCGATTGCCAATCAAAAGCCTCTGTTTGTTTAACCTAATCCGCCATGCTGATTATGATTAAGCCCCTGTGAGTACACTTTACCTACATTTATTTATATCAACTGGCAGGCGTCTTGATAGTTATCATTAGCCATTTAGTTGACTTCAGGCTTCACAGAGAGGAAGGTACATCAAATTGAACAAAAGTCGAGTGGGGGGGGGGGGGGGGGTGGAACAGAAGAGTGTTTCAAAGATGTAAAAGAGACAGACACAAAGGTAGAAAAAAGGTGAGGTGAGTACTGTGGAAGTAGTCGAATAGGACATATAGTGAGGTGATGGTAGCTTGATGTGAGAAGTTAACTGCCAGTTAATAGACTTTTTTGCCGTATGAGTCTACGTTGCCCAGGGTGCACCACGTGGAGGTAAGTCTATCACACACCCCACTTTACCCACATCATGCTTACTGAATGGACGCGCTCCGTGCTATGCGTGTGTTTCCTCTAAAGCTGGGCTGTAGCTTAGCTCGTTCTGGGAGTCTAGCTAAATATAGGAAAATCTGCCGCATAGATTTCTGAGTCAGTTAGGCTTTACTAGTGTAGCAATCCGCTATACCGCCTTAGAATGTATTAGACTAAGTTTCTTTATTAAAAGCAAATATCCAGGTGAAATTTACTCTCAAGATTTTGTAAGGAAATTCTTAAGTCAAAAATCCATTTTTGTGCCACTCAGATTTCTTCCTTGGTGCAATCGAAGTTTGCTTGGTAATGAATCATCAGTTACAACTGTGAGTTGAGTTTAAACTGGTTGTAGATATATCTGATTTTTAAATTCATGGCTTTTGCCTAAACCAAAACGTGAATTGAAATTCTGTAGACTATCGTTAACTTTTCAATTAATTAGCACCCATTCAAGGTCAATTTGAGTTAATTTCTCTGAAAAGAGTCCTGTTAGTATGAACCACTTTTTCTAAATGCTCTGAATAATTTCGTTTGCTCCCTTCTAAACCATACTTTCCATTATGACACCTTTTTAATTTTCAATAATTTGACATATTGCGATTTGATTCCAACCAAGTTCAAAACTAATTAAAATCAAGGGAATACTACTACTAGCAAATAAAGATTTTCGAAAAATAAATGATGTCAAATAACCATGTATTTTTTTCTAATGTTGCTTAAAATGTGCATTAATTTCTTATGCTTGGCATTAACAGATTATTTGCACTGCAAAAAAACTTGAGCATACATTCGGCAAGCTGTGTAGTCCGTTTCTACTAGCAGTAAGAAGCACCGTTTAAAGATGATTGGTGTACCGTTGTCAGGGCAACATGGGGACATATATGGAGAACTAAAGATTAATGCCAACCATATCGACATAATGTTATCTGTTATTATTTCGACGACTCTGTTACTGGTGCATCTAAAGGCGGTACCTTTAAATTACGCTAGTAGCACCGAAAGTGCTGATCTTTTTACAAATGTGACACTCATTTTTGTCACTGTGGAAAATGCGACCACGAAATCGGAATTAAATAACGAGGTCAATTCAGATATTGCCTTACTCGATGGTAGTTTTTTTAAATTTATATCTAATTAAATAATATCAGGTGGCAATGACATTCGGAATAGTAAAACACAACCTGGGGATATTGGAAGCAGTATTCCAAGAGAACCGTCACCAAACGACATCGGCCAACCAACCAACGAAATTAAGCATAGAATTGACTTCAGTGATAATTCTGATAATGACCTTACTGTTACACCTCGTCTTAGTGAAAACTCTGGAATTACGTTCAAAAGTCCACCAGATGAAGGTGCTGAAGGGAAAAATGGCGGTGAGAGCTACCTGTTTAAACCGTTGTCACCCTCAAATAATATAGGCGGTGATATTTCTGACATTGTTGGTAACGAGCCTATTCCAAGTACTGATGAGGAACGAAATACTACCACTTGACCCCTTACAAATGTCGCAGGTAACAACAGTACTATGATTTCAGATATCGGAAGTACCAGTATTTCTGAAAGTTTAGTAAATGAATCCGTTCCAAATAGTGATAATGGTGGTATTTCTTTCACTGATCCTTATGGAGACATTGAAGGTTTCGAGAATCATGGAAATACGCGATCCACAGAGTCATTTACTGAAAATAATGGCAAGGAGAACTTATCAAACGATAATACCAACGGCAGTGTCGAAAGCAATTCTACTGAGATATTGTCCAACAGAACTGAATAACTAACAATATGAAAAAGTCAAATTATAAAATTGTCCTCTTGAGTTCCAGTCAAGTGCTGGAGGCGTCAACGACACAGATCTTTTACCAAATAATGGTGATGGTACAAAAAGTGAAATCAACCCTGGTAACCTACAATGTTTTTCAAGTGATTTTCCTCCAAACAGAAATAAATCTAAAAATTTTGATGGAAGCGAAGAAACTAATCTGCCATCAGTTGTATATGGTGGCATTTCCGAAAGCACTAATAACAACACGTTTTATAATGCCGAAATAAGTGGTAGTTTCAATAGTAAAACAAACAGGCCTCCAACGGATACTAGCAAAGAAGACATCTCTGGAAGAAATGTTACTAAGAAGCTGCAGGATGGAGTTGGTAATAATAGTCCACCATCTAAGAATATGAACAATAATAACGTTAATTGTGAAATGGAAATTAATCAGAGCACTACAACAAGCCCATCACCAGGACTTTTAGCAGTCACTATTGGAGATTCAATTACGGTTTCTGATAATACCATCAGTGGAAACATTCTAATTGAATCGATATCGGATTTAGATGATGAAAACATTTATGGAACTACTGTAATTTCACCGTTCAAACTTCCATCTACCCTTGGTGATAGCAATGAAAATAATGATTATATAATAGTTTCTGAGAAAGATGCCAATATTAGCCATAATAACTCTTCAACTGGACCCTTACCAGATTCTTCAGGTGATAAATTTAGAGCTACTTCGATACCAATAACTGGAGCTCTGGTAATTAAGGGAGGTGATGGAAATGGTAGTAAAGCAGATCCGGATGACAACTCAGATAGCTCTGTTAATAATCCGCCGATGAATAATTATGCAAATATTCTCTCTGGCCCACACCTGGGTAACAGAAGTATTTCTGAAGGTAATGAACGAATTTCCGTTGTTGTTGTTCCCGGTAAAACTAACAGTCCTTCGCCTATTGTCGAAGAAATTAAAAATAGTGTAAATATCAGCAGAGATGCATTTGTTGACAGCCGCAAGAAAACTCTGAAAATTCGCCTTCTAAATTTCTATTAGATGGAAGTAATGATAATGGTTCTGAAAGTATTGCAATTGGCATCAATCCGGTACCTTTATCGAAGCCTCCAACAACTACTCCATATGATAACTCAAACAGGTCGTCTACTGAGTCAGCATTTGACACTGAACCACATTCAGACAATAATGGTGCTCAAGGAAATAATCAAACAATGTATAATATTGACGCTAATTTAATTTTCCATACAATTCCGCCTGTTAATTATAGCAGTGAGGTGACTGACCACGCTATCATTCCTAGCAGTGAAAGAAATCCAAACTCTGGAATTTCACCCACTAAGCATTCAACAAATAATAACGGTAGTGAAAGGCTTTCAGATTCCAAAAATTTGAATGGCGTGGAAATAACGCAAATTCAGTCTACGAATACTATTTGGGAAATCACTGGAAACGATCGTGTTTATGATATAGATTATTACAATAGTAGTAGAAATAACGATTTAGCTAGACTTGATTCAACAAATGAACGGGATACTGCCAGTTTTTAAGAATTTTATTATCCTACAATTGGTACGGATGCTGATGGCAGTATTGGCAATGAACATCCTAACCTAAATGACAGTGGAATTAATAATAATCTAACCAGTAAAATTGGAAATAATGGTAGTTTGGAGGACAAGAATAACAGGGATGAACACGACCATTCTCGAGAAGAGGACAACATAACTGATCACCTATTTGACCACTTTGTCAAGGGTAGCAAAGATGAAACTTGGACTTCGGGGAAAAATAAAAGACCTGGAGGAATTTCGCTGGTTGAGTCTTGATTGAAGCTATTACCCTGATTTTTATTCAGCATCATTTAGAAGATCTAGTTTCTGCTTACTTCCCTAAATATCATTTTACCACTCTACTTGTTATAGTCAGAGACGTAACTTGTCGTTTACATTTGAAAACATATTTATAATCATGCAATAATGGCAATAAAGCCGCATGCCTTACTGTGTTTGAAGAATTAAAGCTGGAAAAAACCTAGTATTAGTAATATTGGGCTATTTACATAAAACTTTGGATGACAAGAGTTATATGGCAGAGCCACCCCCAATATATCCAAAGTTAGACGTCAGTAGATTGACCAAAAACACCAGTTCCTGATTTTCACACAGTACTATATTCAAGGGACTCTCCCATAACAAAGCACGTTAACCATAGGGAGATTGTCTAGTGATACCTGACGTTTTACACTTAAAACAGAGTACAAAATGAATTTGAAAACCTCTCAAAATGGACAAGAAGACATCAGTGAGAATATGACTTGACTGGACCACGTTTAAGTATCTTGTTTTAATTGCGTTTGATTAGGGGAAGTTTATCATATGCTAGTGGTTTCATATTTACCATTTTAAATGGCACACAAATTTTTAACTTTCGAATTTAATTTCGTTACATTGTCTATGGATGCGAATAAAATTATAAAAATTAGCTATTAAGAATATGCTCTAATTGGTAGAATTGACTTTTATATTGATTTACCTGCTAATGGGTTTGATTAAGGCCTAATTCACATACACACAAGGAGTGGAAAAAAATCCTGAAAAATTTCGAAACGCACGAATGAACAGGATTTTGAAGCATGTAAGTTGTTTGAAAGCAAATATGACAGTGAGTCATCAGCAAACTACGTAATCGGATCGATACAAGGCTTTTTCAAAATATTTTTACCATGAACTTAACACTGAAAGCTACATAATAGGGTGACTAAAGGCTTGCAAAGCTCTACGAGATTGTTAGCATCAGTATTATTTCAAATGAAACCTTATTTTATTTCTACAAAAAAACTGGAGTGATGATTAAGTCATTTGCGCATGTAATTTCTCAACTAGTGTGTAGATTTAGAACCTTGGCGAGAAATTCGAGTCATGAATCCTACCGGTATTTGAATAATAATTATCTCAAAAATAATAGGAGTTACCTTCACTAGAATCACGTTACGTATATTTCCGTTCGGGTGTTTTCGAGGCATTTAAATATATCTCAGTTGGATACCCTTGTTTTAATGGATACCAGTCTAATAAATACGGAGTTTAAACTATAAAATATGATACAAGTAATTCAAGCTTTCTGCATACGCTACTTTGGACTCGATGAATTTTGGACTTCTCTATTTGCTGATACCTTGAACAATTCAGGTTTGAAGTTTTTCATAGCAATTCAAAGTTTGGTTAATATGAATAGAAATTGAGAAAGGGAGGAGAGACAATCTGGTGGGTTAAAATTTACAAAATAACGCTTTAGTTGAATAAATCTTAGATTGTAGTAATAAAGAAAATTGCTGTACTTCAAATTCAGGTAAATTATCATCAATAACGGCCAATAAAGTGGATATTGAAGAAAAATATTGGAAAGCACTAAATTACCCCAATCCTTCATATTACCACTGAATTGATTCGAATAATGTTTGATAATGTACGCTTATATTACTGCCCTAGACAAAAGCCTCATATTTACCCCTTATATCATCGATTATAACTTGTTTTGGTATTAAATTTTTGAACAAAATGATTTGTCATACAATTTCACAAAAAATTAGATTCGAAGTGGTACAAAATCCCTTTTAGATTAGCTTATCTCCTTCTTCTGCTCTCAGACAAATTTTTGGACATTTAGTTAAATGTGTTTGAGCGAAACTTAAATGGCTACAAAGCTATGGGCTTTAAAATAGGCATCCATTGAATTTTGGGCTTTGACTCTTGTTGTTATTAAAGTGCTTTTCCCTTACCTATATTTGTCTTATTAATAAGACTATAAAAATTTCTAAGCCCATTTAGAAATTTCATTGGGTAGAGGAAAGGGAACGGGTGTTGTTACCTTTCCGCTTCACTTCACTGATGAGCACTGACCTTGTGTCCTCTGTTTAGTTAAAATTGTACCATGACCACTGCATCTCCAGCGCCACTAATTTTAAAAGTTTTGAACAAATTTCGTTTTAAGCTTTCCGTTCTTAATAATATGGAACTTGTTTCGCAAGCTTGGATGTAATATTATACAATTAACTATAAAATTTTTTTAGCATATATTTGAAGTTATTGACTTGTAGAGCTAAGTCAATATTTGCATTTCAGATTGGCAAATTGTCATAGCTCTTGGAAATTAGAGTTTTCGTTTTCATTGATTTTGAATATTAAAGTTTTCAATTTTTCATTATTACATAATTAATTTGTACTTTTCGAGTTTTCCGCGAGAAGGGCCTACATTATATCAATTTGTGGGACACGTTATCGCTCTGTGCGTCATCATATGCCTGCATGTCTGCTC